TTACCTTTCACATGTAATAGCATAGATATTGAATCACGAATTTAACCCTGAGATAAAAGAATTAAAAATTGTGATAGAGTCATAATTATATCATTTAAATAATTTTAATCAAAAAATTAATTAGCTAATCATTGCTTGGCGCACCAAGACCTTAAATATCACAATAATATATATATATATATATATATAATATATATATATATATATATATATATATATATATATATATATATATATTTAATACCGATAAAAAATAAAGTCAAAACTCTGTACGCAGTAGCATACGCAAAACTAGGTAAATATCAGTCGTAAATTAAATATCTCAGATTTATCTAAATAAAGTCTTTTACACAAACAATTCGGTTTTTCGAATCATCCTCAAGTAGCTAGTTTTACCTCTGGTTTTACTAATACCATAAACGTAGGGAGTAGCACAATGAAGGCTCGTGGCACAGATGAGCGTAGGTACCGTAAAAGAACTGCAGGTTGGTGTATCATTGAGGTATAGAGAACGGACGTCAGAGGCGGCGTCGGTCAAGCAGGCAGCAAAGAGAAAGTATGTCTAAAACAGCGTCGGTGAATCAGGTAACAAAAAGTAATGGCAGAGTTGACTACGTGTCGCCGCGCCGTTTGATAAACACAATCGCATACAACGAGAATAAATTCGATTTTCGATATTTAGACCAACTAGGTATAAAAAAAGGGAGTACTTACTGGAGAGTGCCAAGCGAAAGTGGTACTTCATTGACAATTCCGATGCGGTCTTGTTTCCTATACTTTTCCTACTTTCTCCTGACTGAGAAGGTTATTTCATAGAAGAGGTTAAGAGGAAGAGTTTCTATTTAGCTAAGGAAAGATAATAAGGGTGCTCGTTGCTTAAGGGTTATTTTCAATGGATCTAGTATAGTATATGGACATAGGCGGCGTGAAAGTAATTTTCTGAGAAGAATACTTTTTAAAGAAGAAATTTTAAACATTTAAAAACAGTTAAACAACAACAATTAAAAAGAAAGAGGAACAATTAATGCTTGTGGCGGAAATGAGAATGCCTAGATGGATGAGTGGAGTGCCAAAAAAGGATACAATTAGGAATGAGTATATTAGGGGAACTCTAGCGGTGGTACCAATTGTTGGTAAGATGAGAGAGAATAGGATAAAATATTTTGGTCATGTTCAACATAGAGACATTGATCACCCAATATGAAGAATGGCAGATCTGCGGGTTCCTGGAAGTAGTAGGAGAAGAAGACCAAAAAGGACCAAGGTGGTGACAGGCAGGACATGTCGGTAAACGGTATTAATATTGATATGACCCAAGATAGACACTTATGGAGAAATCTAATTAGGGAAGCCGACTCCGCATAGGAATAAAGGAAAAGTAATGATGATGAATCTGGGTATATTTATTTAAGTATTATTGTTTGTTTTAATAAATTATGTTTATTTAATTTTTGTACATGTAATTATTTTTTCCTTTTTTTTTCTTGGAATCCGATCATTAAATAGAACTATAGGTTATTCCACGTATATACGACTGTTTTGGATTATTACAACGAATATTTTACTGTGCAAGTAGAAGTATGAAAGTAAATTGGTCTAAACAGTATTCCAATAAAATGGATTTACTGCTAGTTTGATACTTAGGTACACTAAAATTATTTCAGTTAATATACTAGATGTTCTGATGCAAAATTTATTGTGAAATTTAATCCGAAAATAACAAAAATTTTTACGCGAACGGTCCTACAAATAAATACAATCAGTTCTATGAAGCCAAAATGTGTTCATACGACATTTGGGTTAGGTTTCTGTGAAATGTAAACACCAAAGAGGCGTGCCGGGTTTCTTTGATATTACACTTTTTATTACTTTATTAGGTACTAAAACTGTAATAAAAAGAAATATACTTTTAATATAAATGAACAGAAATTGGCAGAACGATGGTTTGGAAACTAGAAAAAAGATCTATAATTTCACTTTGTTAGTTTTAAATATTTGTTTGATTTGAGTGGTGTACACCTAAAGTTCCTAAAGTAACGGGTACAACATACCGGCTATTGATAGTTGAAGTACCGAGTCGTTACAGATATTAAAAAGTAACGAATATTTATATACAGTTTCATATGACTGATTTTAGTTTTAAAAACTGTCCGTATAGAAGTGTCCGGTAAAGAGAGGTGCCGTTAAGAGAGAGTTTAGTGTATTTGTTTATTGAAGCCAAAAACGCCTAGACGTGTTTTAGATGTAGACAACTTTATATTTAATATACTTTCCTATGGCGAAGTTCTGTGAATCTGATGGTTGATGATAGTTTTAGGAGATTAGAATAAGAAAATAAGTAAGTTTTTTTTGGTTTCTTAATACTAATTGAATATTCGACTAAATCAATTACACTATTTAATCACCAAAGTATTGTTACACTTCGTTTAAATCACTTAATTCAAAAACCAATTTGTTTACATTACTAAAATCAATGATAGTAATTATATACTTCAAAATCTGAATTATAACTATTCTATAAACTATCAACTCTATATTAATATCATAATTTTAAGTCATAACAGTATTTTAAAAATAGGGAGAATTTACTATTGTACAATTCAGCACATTGGACCATTCTAATAGAGACCTTAAACCGAATTTAAAACAGTCGTATATTCGTGGAATGGAGTATACATACTATATGCTATGAAACAAAACCAACAAATGTAATAATTCAATGACCTGTTAGGCTAAAATCTTCGAAGCCAATTTCAGACTTTCCTTCAGTGAATATCATCGGACATGAGTTCAAACAAATGATCTGCTCGAGAAAACTGCTTAAAACAAATCTCACACTTATAAAGGTTTTTCTTCAGTGTGAATTTTCAAATGGTTATTTAGAGTAATTTTATAAGAAAACTGGATACAACAAATCTCACACTTATAAAGTTTTTCTCCAGTGTGACTACGCGAATGAATTTTCAAATGTTTGTTTAAGTTACCTTTTACAGAAAATTGCTTAAAACAAACTTCACACTTGTAAGGCTTTTCTCCAGTGTGTGTCTTCAAATGCTTTTTCAATGGACTTGATGTAGTAAACTGTTTAAAACAAATCTCACACTTATAAGGTTTTTCTCCAGTGTGTACACGCAAATGGATTTTCAAACTACTTCGCTCAGAATACTGTTTAAAGCAAATTTCACACTCATAAGGTTTTTCCCCAGTGTGTGCCATAAAATGTTTAGATAGAGTATATCTACGAGAAAACTGTTTAAAACAAATCTCACACTTATAAGGCGTTTCTCCACACTTGTTGGGTTTTTCTCGAGTGTGTGTTATCAAATGTGTTTTCAAGTTAGATTTTTGGAAAAACTGCTTAAAACAAATCTCACACTTATAAGGTTTTTCACCGGTGTGAGTCATCAGATGTGTTTTCAAATTATTTGTTCGAGAAAACTGCTTAAAACAAATCTCACACTTATAAGGTTTTTCTCCACACTTGTAGGGTTTTTCTCCAGTGTGTATTTTCAAATGTGTTTTCATAGAACTTTCATGACAAAACTGCTTAAAACAAATCTCACACTTATAAGGTTTTTCACCAGTGTGTATTATCAAATGTGTTTTCATAGAACTTTCGTGACAAAACTGCTTAAAACAAATGTCACACTTATAAGGTTTTCCACTAGTGTGTATTATCAAATGTGTTTTCAGAGTACTTGCACAAGAAAACTGTTTAAAACAAATTTCACACTTATAAGGTTTTTCACCAGTGTGTATCATCAAATGTGTTTTCAGAGAACCTGCTTGAGAAAACCGCTTAAAACAAATTTCACACTTATAAGGTTTTTCTCCAGTGTGTGTCATCAAATGTGATTTCAAATAAAGTTTTTGAGAAAACTGCTTAAAACAAATCTCACACTTATAAGGTTTTTCACCAGTGTGTATTATCAAATGTGTTTTCATAGAACTTTCGTGAGAAAACTGCTTAAAACAAATTTCACACTTATAAGGTTTTTCACCAGTGTGTATCATCAAATGTGTTTTCAGATAACCTGCTTGAGAAAACCGCTTAAAACAAATTTTACACTTATAAGGTCTTTCTCCAGTATGTCTCATCAAATGTCTTTTCAAGTAACATTCTTGAGAAAACTGTTTAAAACAAATCTCACAGTTAGAAGGTTTTTCACCAGTGTGTATTTTCAAATGTGTTTTCATAGAACTTGCATGAGAAAACTGCTTAAAACAAATTTCACACTTATAAGGTTTTTCTCTAGTGTGTGTCATCAAATGTGATTTCAAGCAAAATTTTTGAGAAAACTGCTTAAAACAAATCTCACACTTATAAGGTTTTTCACCAGTGTGTATTATCAAATGTGTTTTCATAGAACTTTGGTGAGAAAACTGCTTAAAACAAATCTCACACTTATAAGGTTTTCCACTAGTGTGTATTATCAAATGTGTTTTCAAAGTACTTGCTTGAGAAAACTGCTTAAAACAAATTTCACACTTATAAGGTTTTTCTCTAGTGTGTGTCATCAAATGTCTTTTCAAATTGTATCGCTGACATAACTGCTTGGAACAAATATCACACTTGTATCTTTTTTCTTGGGTTACAGTACAACCTAAAAGAAAAGTTATTTATACAAATTTGACTACCTGGAAGAAATAAATGTAATAAACAAATTTATATGAAGTAAAATTATAAAATGCTAGTCCATGATATCAATACTCATTAGGGATATGCGCTAGAATGTTGATCAACATCTCAACTGTAATAGGTTAAAGAAGAATATTAGAAAAATTAAAATTTTAACATAACTTAATTTCGCAGAAGAGGATATTGTGATAGTGACTATGTGGTTAATGCTGATGTGGATCAGATACGATATGCAACAAGAGAACCTCTTTGTGAACCTCTTTAACCCATTCATTCCCAAGGGGTAGTTATCGACTAACGAACTAAAAATAAATCTACTGTGGACTGTGATTTACAGATTGAGCCAGGATTGCACCCACCGCTATTTAACACAACCCGCTGATCTTTTTTTTCCCGCACGACTAGTTATAACATACACTTCTTTGTAGCTAGTACATGGTGCGACTGTAAATAAATAGAGAGAACATGTTTTCAAACTCTTGACAATACAATGACAATATTCTAATATTGCCAGAAGGCATATCATTCCTCCCGACTATAAAGGCGAAAATACCGACTGTGACTAAGATAATGATGTAAATCATCTAAGTGCCTGCAGAACCAGTGTCTAACTTCTAGCAGAAAGAGAGCCCATGTATAGTAAAGAAAATCATATATATATATATATATATATATATATATATATATATATATATATATATATATATATATAAGATGGTGGTATTCTTGACTGTTGATTTAAATATAAATTATGATTTTTGAGGATGCAGTCAGTTTATTTGGCCCATAAGACAAAGAAAACTCTTTGACTTACTGTCAAGCTTTCGAATTTTATTTAATTCTTTTTCAAGACATCTATAAAAAGAAATATAAATTAACTAGTTAAAATTGTTAATTGTCTTACTTACTAGTCGTGAGATTACAGTTGTTAATATTATTATACTTTACAAAACAAATCATTATAAATATATTAAAAAAATTTTTTATTAAAAATAACTATATTGTCACTATATATGTCATTGTCATGGTTTGATTAATGGACATATATGAATGAAAATACAGTTACTTTATGTGGAAAGCAAAATCAGTAACAATAGTTTTTATTATAATTTATTTAATTGTCTATAAAAAATATAAATTAATCCAGTCAGCAGTTTGGCTTAAGCACATATGAATTTTTAATGTTAGGATGTCAATAGAAAATGAGATCTTGACGGTATTTATTGATATGTTAAAATATGTAACAATAAATGTTACTTAATTTGTCAATATCCATTGATAATGATATTATCAAAATGATACCTATAAATATTATAAAATAAAATTATATCTTACATTTAAAATACTTATATAATAAAAACCATTAAAATTATGCTTAAGGTAAAAATTAATAGTAAATATTTAGACATATTTAAAGTAAAAAATACTATTTTATGAATGCTTTTTAATATGAATTCAAAAATTGTGGCTTCTCATAACAAAACATTATATAAAAATGAATGGGAAAATCCCAGTAGTTGGCTGTATACTATCGTTTAAAAAACTTATACAGAAGTAAAACACTTCACATTTACCTAAGTATATATCTAAATACAAATGTGAAGCATGTTACTTCTGTATAAGAAACTATATAAGTATCTTTCTATTTTACACACTCCTATACTTTATACAAAAAGATGTGGCAACTGGCAACACTGTGACGCACAAACATATCAAGTTAACCGAATTTTTATATAATTTCAATGCATTTCTAATTCTATACTGTTATGACTGTGAGAGTATGAAAAAACTGAAGATATGGCAACTCTAACAAAATTTAAGCATACCTTATATGTCAAATATAAGTTTGGTTATGATGGGTTTCCTAAACAATTAAACTAATCATTGCCCCAGAAAACTTTCTAGATTAAATGAATTCTACATCAATATACTTAATACTGATTTCAGTGGAAATTATAGTATTTAGTAGCTACATATTGTTTTACTTCTCTCACCTAGTTCTTCCTCGGGTTCATTTTTCAAGTTTTCCAGATCTATCGATGTGGTTAACGGAGCCTCCATATATTTTTGATCATGTTCATCAAAGTCTTTCTTAATTTCAACTTTAACTTCCATAGCTAATAAATTAGATAATAGAAAAAAATGCCTAACAGTAACAAGAGTAACAACTAACAAAGGGGCGCTTGAAGCTTGTAGCAGAGAACTAACGACAACGACCTCCGACGTTGCCAGGTGACATGAACCATTTTGCGGTAGGTAGAACCGGAAAATTACGGTAGAAAACGGTAGACGTACCATAAAGATGTTAAATTTGTTGTTTTTTTACTTTATCTATATTGTCAATGGTTTGTTTAAATGCCTTTAATAATAGTACGTTCGAATGTAAATAATTTTCAAGAGAAAATACACACAAAATTCTTAAAAAATATAATTTTTATTAAATAGGATAGGTAAATAAACTTCAAACACATAAACTGAAAACAAAACTAAACCTAAAAAATAGAATAAAACAAAACAAATAAGTAACTGAATTATACAAAAAATCAACAATTAGATCTCGTCATTATCTGAGTTCTGCTCGTAAATGTCTTTATTTAGCAGTTTTCGCAAATCATGTTCAACTTTAAAACTAAAGCAACTTCCGTCGTAGTCAACTAACCTCTTACTATGTAATAGTCCCTCAATGGTTTTGGTATTTAATTTATTTCTCTGCTTAGTTTTTAATATATTGACAACCGAAAAAATTCTCTCTACATTTGCACTAGAATGCGGTAAAGTCAATACATTAAAAACAAGTAAGGATAAATTGGGGAACATATTCAATCCATTTCCATAACTCATTTCACTAACATCAGATTAAAATTCTAATATATTATTAGATTCAGGCAACTCTGTGTTTCGTAAAAGTCTCCACTCATTATCTAATGATTGAATATCGCCCTGATTTATCCCAATATTGCCCAATTTAGCTGAAATATGTGCAATTGAATTAAGTTTTTTGCTTCTCACGAGATCAGGATTTATGAACTGCAACTCTTCCTGGATATTATTTTTCATGGGAACCCTTGTTAATAATTGGTCCAGACTCTCTATATAAAATTGTAAACACTTTAATTTTACAAATTCTAAATCTTTTTTATCTATACTAGACGTAGAAATGTCAGATCCAAAATACATCTCCTCAATGGGTAACATATTTCTTGGACTTTTGAAATCTATATCAAATAATGCGGTTTTGTCAATGACATCCTCTTTTTATAAAACAGTCCATAAGAGTTTTTACAATGGATTTGAGATTAGCATATATGTAACTAATTTGTGGTGATTCTGACTGCATTTTTAGGTTCAGGTTATTAAAATATGGAAGAACATAATTTAAGAATTGCAAAAAAAGTTTGTTTTTTGGATTCTTGAGACACGTTAAAATATGGTTTGCTTGATCATCTGTAGGACTATTATAAGAAACGTCAGTGAAAAACAATATAAGTGCATTATACTGTTCTAAAATCCTGCGTATAATACTATGTAATGACATCCATCTTGTTTGAGATGGATGTAATATCTTATGGATTTTAACCTGAACGAACTCCTGAAATTGTCGCAGTTCATATATCCGTTTTGGGCTATTACTAAAGTAATCATATATATCCCTTGTTAACTGTTCTACACAATTTGGGATTTTTGCACAAGCATAAGATGCTATTAAATGAAAACTATGGCATATACATTTCAAAATAAAGAGATTTGGTATAGATTCAGAAAACCGTGATGCAACTGAGTTGTGCCTTCCCATCATTACATTAGCACCATCAGATGCAAAACCGATCATATTTTGTTTATAATCAATTTGATGTTTTTGAAAAAAATCTGTAATTTTATCGAAGAGGCTCTCTGCATTTTCATTTTCGATTTCAATTAGAGTTAAGAAAGAATCTTTAATTCGTTTATCAAAACGATAAACGTAAACTAACTACTAAACATAATTGTTTCGTACAAGTACGATCAGTTGACTCGTGGATTATTAGACTAAATTTTTTTATTTTTAAAAAAGAAATAAGTTTTTCTTTGGAAAAACGGCCTAGTACATTTTTAATAATGTTCGTAGTTTTAGTACGAGCGCACTTCATGTTTTTGGCGATGTTGGAGTCTGGAAGCATAGACTGCAATAATTTTGGCATATGGTCCATTACACGCATTGGTAAATTGTGTTCCACTACAAAGGCACACAGCTTAATTTCTGCGTCTTTTGCAGAATTTGCATTATGTGTAGATGTAGATGCCTCTCCTAAAAAACTGGTCAAGCTTCTCTGCGTTTTTTTACTTTTACAATTTTCAGCATGCTTTTTTCCAGAAGCGTGCCTCTCTACTTGTAGCTTGCCAGATATCTATATGAACGTGACATGCAGAACAATAAGCAAAATTTTGTCCCTACAAAATTATATGCTATACTATCTTCATAAAAAAATGTGTTCCAAAAACATACCTTTTTACTTTTTTGAAGCCAGCCTTTAAATTTACTTTCTTCTTCCCATGCAATTTTATAAACCTGGAAATATTTTTTTTTCATAGCATTCTTTTTTATAGTATCACTATCATCACTGTCAGACATTATTATTAAAAAAGTATTAATAAATATACACTTTATATATTTTCTTACAGACCACTTAAATACGGTAAATAAATTTATAATACTGATTTCTCTGAATCTGAATTTCTCATCACCACAGACAAGGAATGGGTATATGATTAAGGGATTTTACCAATTTCTTTTAGGTGATTCCCCGCAAATTCAACTGGCAATGCATTCTTAATAATTTGAATTACCACTGCTACATCATAGGCTTGCGAATTAAATTTTATAATTTCTCATATTCTATACAAAATTAAAAAATTATAAAACTGTATGTATCCTTTATATTAAAAAGTGCGGTAGAAACAGGTGTTAAAACGGTAGAACGGGATGGAGAACGGTAGATCTACCGTAATAACGGTAGACCTGGCAACAGTGGGCCGAACTCTGTTTGACTTGTACGCTGCTTGTAGTAACGCCACAGAATACCAGTGTTGCCAACCTTCTTGCAAGCTTTTTCCCTCAAGTTACCTTAAAAAATGCCTCTCGTTTACAAACCGGGTTTTATAACAGAAATATAAGAATGTGTATATTTAGCCACGTTATGTTCAGCAAAAAGACACTTATCGGCACTTATTATGTCGGCGCCTTTTACGGCATTTTGGTGATTTAAAGAAGTATTACCAGTTGCCAAAAAACGAGAAAATACCTGAACTAGATTTAGTAGCAGTCATATTTTTTAAATGTTTCTTACCTGCAGCATGTTTTTGCAGTTCTCTTTTGCCACATTTCTGCATTACACACTTTCCACATACATGTTTTATTATGTGGCAAAGCCTTAACCCAGATTTTAAAAGGATTTTCTAACCACTTAACATTCAATGTTTTTTCTTTAGATTTGGTTATTTTAATTTTTTTTATTTGATTACTACATCGGCCCCACTATCACTAAATACACTACTGTTATTATTGTTTCTCATTTTTATTGTTCTCTGCTCTAAACTCCAATAATTATTATTAACAAGTAACATTTTATACATAAAGTACCAAATAAGACAATTTCGGTGGGTTTCCCACTTCCATTACAATAATATGTATTCAAATAGCCATAATTTTATTTAAGTAAATTTTCATCATATCATTAAGTTTTATTATATTTTTCATTTGGGGAATAGGTACCTATTTAGATCATAATATTTATATAAAATTATAGTGATCTGGCTGTGAAATAGATTACCCTTACTTACTTACTTACTTACTCCGTGGCGTTACAACCCTTCGAGGGTTTTAGCCGACTCGACAACATGCCTCCACTGTTTTCTGTCTTGAGCAACCTCCATCCAATTCTCCACGCCCATAGTGCTTAGGTCTCCTGCTATATTATCTCGCCACCGGAGACGAGGGCGTCCGCGTGGTCTCTTTCCAGTTGGGACTTCCTCCCACACCAGTCTTACTGTTCGTTCGTCAGAATGTCTTCTGAGGTGTCCTGCCCATTGGAGTCTTCTGGACTTTATTTCTTTTATGATGTTGGCGTCTGGGTAAAGTTCTTCAAGCTCTTTATTAGTTCTTATCCTATATTGTCCTGATGCTTCATCAAGCACCGGAAATAGATTACCCAACCATCATATATTTTAATTTTTGACACTAAGCACTAAGTGCTTGAGATTCTTTAGAATTATGATTACGAAATGATGTTTTGTTATGATTAAGAATACCGAAATAGAACATTAGGAGCATTTCAATTACTATCAGGAGGTGAAGATATGTTTAATTCTTTTCAAATATTTTTTTGAACTTTTTTAAAGAATATTTTACAATTGACACTGGAGTAAATATTCCCTTTTGAGTTATTTTTTTCCTTTTTTGTCAAAAATTCCCGCAAAAAGGGAAATTTCCCTCCGGTTGGCAACACGGTAAACGAAACGCGTAGCAAGGTAACTCCAATAGAAAGTTTTGGGAGAAATTCTAGCGCCAAAAGTGGACGGGCCGAAACTAATTATATTTGGCGGCAAATTCAAAATGTACGTTTTGAATTTTAGACGGCAGATTAAAAAATATGCTTTTAATGGAAAATAAATATAGTCATAAAATAAAAACTTATTCTATGCCAAAAAATATAGTATACATTTACACATTTTTATATATAAATGTATAACATAATATCAGACAGAGAGTAAACTCCTTTTACTCTATGACGGCCGATATGTAAGTAAGATAAATGATCAGTGGGCCTCAAATAGTGGAGCATTAATATTTAATTTCGATGGCTTGAAAAGTAAAAATATTTAATTTCCTGTATTTTATGTTCAGTAATAATATTGGATTTTACTGTATCAAAGGCAAATAAAATGAATATATATCGACCTAAAGGTCAATTCAGACACATCAGTCAAGTTATAGTCACGTCGCCGAACCGGTCCTGTTTGGTCACAGAACTATCAACTATCTGACAGCTGGGAAAGTGTTTGTCAACTGATGAGTGTCAATGCCGGCAACATATTGGTATTAAAGAATATTTTGTATGACGGATTGTCCGATTCGGCGC